GAATATTTTATTCAGAATTCCAAAACTACCAAAAGGCACAAGTACACCACCAGACCAATCTATGTGCCAAGTTTGGTGAAGAAATAGTGAACAGTTTTCGAGTTCAGCTCCGGAAAAGAGCACTACTACAATTTCAGGCTAAGTCAAACTTGTTGCCAAGGAAACGCCAAAAATATTTTATTCAGAATTCCAAAACTACCAAAAGGCACCAGTACACCACCAGATCTATCTATGTGCCAAGTTTGGTGAAGAAATATTGAACGGTTTTAGAGTTCTGCTCCGGAAAAGAGCACTACCACTAATTTCAGTCAAAGTCGAACTTGTTGCCATGGAAACGCCAAAAATATTTAATTCAGAATTCCAAAACTACCAAAAGGCACCAGGACACCACCAGATCCATGTAGGTGCCTAGTTTGGTGAAGAAATATTGAACGGTTTTAGAGTTCTGTCATGTCATGTGTCTTTTAACAGTCTTATATGCGAAAAAGTGATCTATCGTTTCAGGTTTTTCACATTGGTGTATAGTCCCATTGGTCACCCAAGATAGCACACCTGGCAACTAATTGCATGATGTTCGCCATTCTTTGAAAAAGTAATTCAGTTAACCAATAATGAGCACACAATCAATGTACTGGCGGTTAATCCTTTGAAGGAAGGACGCTGTTTTTACAAAGAGACTTTACCACAGGGTGTATTCAGTATAGATTAGTAAATCTACATACATAAACACTACTTTTTGACAAATCCGCTGTGCAGGATATAAGCAATTAATCAATCAGCGTGTTATCGGTTAATCCTTTGACTGATGTTTGTTTTGTAAATCAGCTGATAATTCCTCTTACTGCACTTCCGTGCGCATATTACATAAGATGTAATACAGTTGCCACATCAGACCCCAATTTATAATGATGAGTACTTACCCCAAACACGAGAAATGCCAAATGGGAACATTTGTCAGGTAATCTGAGTGGTGTTATCACTTATTATACCTGTTATAATTCATTACCTGACCATCAAGTGAATAAAGACAAATAACGTGTAGGTTTACTACCAAACAAGGGTTACAGCAAGAGAGTAGTAATCGCTGTATTCCATGCAAGTTTGATTGCCTGAAAAAAAACCTTATGGTCCGGCACTGTTTTGAGGATACGAACGGAACTTCATTGTTACATAAGAAATATATATAAGCATTTGCTGTGTAATTAGTTAAAAAATGTATATACCTTTGTACCTAAGTAAAATTTCAGGGTTTTTTTGCAATGGCAAAGTGGGTTTGTTTAGTTTATGGATTCAAATGTATCAAATGTGTGTTTTTGATACCATAGCATACGTAATAGACATCATATTTTTAAATGATTAAATATCAAGCTAAAAACACAGAAATAGGATCAAATTGGATCAGTCACTATACCATCCAAACATTTGAAAATCTGAAAAAGCCTACACTGCTGGGATACCTTTTTACAATCAGACAAGAATTACCAGGGATATTTTCAAATAATGGCATCTGATGGGCATCCACCCTTCCTAATATTCCACTGATTAGGTTGAAGAAATTCTGCCAAGGTGGACAGTAGCCCAGTCCCCGTGTCCATCACGGTCGAGGGAGCACGGGCTGACCAGTTTGCAGCTAGGTTTCGTAATATAGACAGTTGGCTGGAAACATTAATCACTCTTGATCAGTGGCCCTTAAAACACTTCATAAAAAAATGTTATCCACGAATTTAGGTTACGGTTCTGTGTAACTTATAAGAGCAGTGAGAAATGTTTATTCATTTATGAAATACATGAATCCAGGGGCTTTTGACAGAGCGAGGGGCTTTTGGTCGAAGGGCTTTTGCACCAAAGGGCTCTTGGTCGGTAAGCATTTCGAACAAAGCCATATTAGTGAGAATCATGAACACAAAGACAGAAGTCTCATTCCCCGAAACTTCTTTTCAGGAAGAAAATGCATTACAATTCACGTTTCCGGACTGAAAGAGGACGAAGTCGAGACATGTGGCGCGAGGCGGTGGTTCCCCCAAATAAATTAATTATTCCACAAAACCTGCTCGTATCATATCCCTACTCGAACGTTTACTGTGGATTTCAAAACTGGGGGTGGATATGACGCACTCTTACCTTTGCATGACACAGCTCTATGTCGTGAAAAACTACTGGGACCTCCAAGTAGATTGTCTGCGGCCGGCCTTTCCGTTTCTCCAGTCTCTCGCGTCGTCTGCCTCCAGGGGTGGTTATGAAAGGGACGTCACTCTATGTTAAAGCATACACTCAGTCTGGTTCCCGTGGTCGGCTGCGCTTACGCTTTTGAAACTGCGCAGCAGACCACGGGAACCAGACTGGGGTCAGCGGGAAATAGACTGGACTCAGCCCCACTTCCCCTAAGACATTTATGACGTCGTGAGGGAAATAAAAAGAAGCTTAATCCATAAAAATATCATGGACATCTATGTACAGCTTCTAAATGCCACTGAAAGACATTTATGACCTTCTTGTTCGAGGCCGCCATGTTCGAGGAGTGCTCAAAGTCTGGTTGCTCATGGTGATAATCTTAAACAATTCATATTAAGTCATTCTAAACCCCTAGACGCTATATGTGTGCAGGAGAATTCTTATGATGGCCGGAGAGCAGTTTTAAAATTAATGTTTACAAGTGTCAGTTTCCGCCACGACAAAATCACGGACAGTCCAAAGGTCACGAATCCTCGTCGGGAAGGCTGTGCAATATTTGCTAGACGGATATGTTCTTCATAGAGCAGTTAAGGTGACGCCGCATAAGGTACCCAAAACTGCTCGAATCCAATGCAGTTAAATGTTCTTTGACGACAATAAATCTGTCACAGTGGTTAATGTTTACAGCACTTGAAAACCTATAAACGATTAACGGCTTGTGAAATAAACACAGGATGAGTTTGGTCTCTAGTTCATTTGTAGTTCATGATGGTAAATTATCCGTGTGGATTTGGGGAGATAGTTGTTTTGTACCTCGGACCTTTTGATTATATTCCCCTCATTAGCTCCTAAATGTAACTAAGATGTATTCCAAGTAGTGATCACTTCACAGTATTTTCTTGATTTTAGTTAAGTGTGAACATGCCAATTGGTCCATTCTTCTTCTCTTTGTGAGGAACATATTTTATCATCCAAAACTGTGTTCCACTAGAGATAATGCCTGTGTGACATCAAACTAGGACGTATATAGAGAACACCACACTCGGTCTCATTACATACGAATTATACGAAACGAGTGTCCTTCCTGTGGTATCTGACCTAGCGAAAGCGAACGAGTGTCCTTCCTGTGGTATCTGACCGAGCGAAAGCGAGGTCAGATAACATAGGAAGTCACGAGTTTCGTATAATTCGTATGTAATGGGACCGAGTGTGGTATTTTATTTATTACCCACGTCTTACATGCATTAAATTGACAAAATAGCGTAATTTTGTTATGTTTTTGGTTTCAAACCGAAACCGGCTTCATAAAGAGGTTGCGGAAGACTTTTGTACTGTAGTACAATATTTGCATGACGTCACACTGTAATGACGTCACTGCCTTGGTAACCGACGTCACGATGCATGTCAGTTGTCATCGCCTCGTACAGCCTCCTACAGTAAACTACTCCGTAGCACCTCGTTTCTTGGTTTCCAGTTGCTTCATTCGGCTAACATCACTGGTGGAAACATTACGTTTATGTTTTTCGACGGATATAATGTCTCAGTTCGACTCACAATTATTCAGCGACACGGCAACGTTCGCAATGTTTACATTCCCACAATGCATTTATAAGTTGCAGAATGAATGAATTCACGTGTTTGTTACGAATGAAAAAATAGTTACGTCAGAATGTGACCTAATTGAGAAGTCATTGGTTATCCAATCACATCATTAGAATCTCAGATCAAGTCGTTACGACACAGGTCAACGCGATACGACACTCGTGTGACGTACGAGATTAGTATGCAACTACCCATACGTTGACCTCGTGGGTAATACATTTAGGGGATAACTGTACTGTGTTTGACGAATTGGGGACGTATACCAGTGGTTATATAGCCGCAAATTTACTTATATCGGCGACGCGTAAGCGGAGCCGATATAACGTTAAATTTGCGGCTATATAACCACCGGTATACGTCCCCAATTCGTCAAACACAGTACAGTTATCCCCATTCTAATTCAACTCGTTTTACGCTGTTTTTTCGTGAAAGAAATTCATTATTTAAACCAGGTCAAAGTTCCTCTAGGTCAAAGGTTAATCATATCACTCCTTCAACTTACACCATCGCCAGAGAAAGTAGTTCCCTTTTCAAACTACACACGTTTATTATGTGCACACAGACTAAATTTGACAATGATGAATAGATCATAGTATTATAGATAAAATGGACGGTATTATGATGAAACCGCCCTCTAGTTACAGAAATGAGCGGCCCGCTGATTCCTCAACTACGGGCCATTATCAGTTCTGTTGTCAAATGACGTCATAGCAGGTGACGTCACGCTCCATAATGACGTCATAAACCTTGTTTCATGATCTAACAGTGTTGGGTCAACAGCCCGTTGCGAGTAAGTTGTTTGAACTTAAAATTAAATTTATGATACTGTTTTGTCTTTTTTAACACAAATTCCACCCATTTTAGCTGGATAGGGGAGTTAATTGACCAATGGCTTCTGCAAATGACAATGTCCTGCGAAACAGCGTTACCCCAATAGTGTAGGGATACATTCAAAGGTTTCGGTGAATCGGTTTTCAAATTGCGACCGTATATGCTGATTATACGGTCGTCTGAAATTTATAGCATTGACCAAAATCAGAACTCGTGTGCTACATACTAAGTTGAATTAGAATGGGGTTATGGGTTGATATACCCTCTATGTTTGATTATGTTCCATGAGACCCGGATGCGTCTAGGAAGGAACGTGACGAGTTTCATTGTTAGTGTACACAGATTCACTCCATTAACTTGTTTGGTCTACACTTAAAAGTATAAGAGGTTCTCACATCCGTTGTCCTCTACCCTGTTTAGGCGGAGACCTGTGGCCAATATTCAGAAGGCTATTGCACAAAAACTCAAAGACTCTTATGAAACTACATTTTTACGTGACATCTCTGCTACCATGTTGGACAGTACCTCTGACTTGACAACACAGTTCTCTTTCGATGAACATAAAAGATAAAAGTGGCATATTAAAACAACCAATTCCTCTCCTGGAGCAGATGAGTTAAATTTCACGCCGCACTCAGCAATATTCCAGCTATATGGCGGCGGTCTGTAAATAATCGAGAATGAACCAGACAATCCAGCGTGAGCATCGATCTACACATTTGGGATACATGACATCTGTCAACCAAGTCAGCGACCCTGACCACCTGATCCCATTAGTCGCCTCTTACGACAAGCATGGGTTACTGAAGATCCATTCTAACCCGGATCTTCATGCAATTAAGAGCACATTCCTCGATACCGAGAAAGCTTACGATTTGATTGGAGAAAAGGATTTCTTTTCAAATTAAACACTTGGGGATCAATGGCAATATGTGAGAAGGATTTACTCATTTCTTTCTGAAAGGATTAATCAAGCCCGTATTGGTGAATACTTTTGTGGTAACAGGTTTGTATGTGACTGATTCAGAAATATTGAGACATCTTTACGGTGTGGTTTCCCGGTCCGAATCTGGTGCAAGAATGATAACAAGGCGTAAAATTCCTTCAGGCATAATCTTGGCATGGGCGGATCCAGACTTTGTGGGTGTGTGCGTGCGTGCGTGCGTGCGTGCGTGCGCGACAAAATTTGTTAAATGACCATTGAAAATCTCGTGTGCACCCCTCCTTTCTCAAAAGTGTGCACCCCATCCCCACCCCACTTTCTCAAAAAGCTGTATCCGACCCTGCTTGGTAGCCACAAATAGAAACAGCGCGAGTATAAGCGGGGAATCGAACCGAGGTCTTTGACGTGACGAGCGACTGCTCTAACCACTAGGCTACCCTACCGTCCCTCTCCACTGTGAAATGAAGTTTTCCCTGCTTGAGAAGCAAAATAAAACCAGCTCTGCAACTACTTAAAGATAGTTGATTATTGTTCGCTCGTCAGGCGAAGGACATGGGTTCGATTCCCCACATGGCTACAATGTGTCAGACCCATTTCTGGTGTCCTCCACCTTGATATTGCTAAACGAATGCCCACTCAATCGCTTTTCATACATGAGAGAACACTGTAAATAAGACAAAAAGAGTTCATGGCCCACCTAATTAATCATTCAGTAAGAAAAACTCCATAATATAAAGTCCGTGGTATCGTTCAGTGCAGGAAGGTTGATGAATAAACTGCAATTCCTTTCAGTGGCAGGGAATGGCATCGGACATCATTTTGTCACCGATACATCAAATTTTGAAATTTCCTCCACGTCTAGTATAACACTTCTTGAAAGCTTTACTGAGGCCTTGGATGTTGTAACCTTGATCAAACAACTTTTGAGCAAGAGTGTCATGACGCTCTTTGAAATAGACACCAAAGGCTGGAGCTCCACATAAATGGAATCTTGACTGTTGGAAGTTGACTGACTGACTGACTGAGTTTGGTTTTACGCTGCTTTTAGCAATATTCCCGCAATATCACGGCGGGGGACACCAGAAATGGGCTTCACTCATTGTACCCATGTGGGGATTCGAACCCGGTTGTTCGGCGCGACAAGCCAACGCTTTAACCACTAGACTACCCCACCACCCCGTTGGAAGTTGAAATCATCCTTTTTGTCATATAGCCTTGTATAGTTTTTTTGGTCACTCTCAATATTTATGCATAGATTCAAAACCACTGTTTCAATCTGTTAGTAACAATGGTTCTGGACTTCATCTGTTTCCAATTTTGGAGTGGTGATACCCTTTGAATCACCATGTGACTGATGATGGGATGCTTGGGAAAGGTGTTCCCAAGATTGTTATGAACCAGCCTTTATATGTTGTGCAACAAAGTTTCAACTGTTATACATCATACCTGCAAGCTGCAGTGGTGTTCTATTTTTAAACTTGTACTAGATTAATTCCACAATCATCAGCCATTGGGAGAATTTTCCAGCATCTTTTTCTTATGTATATAAGCAGGTGGTCAGGCGCACTGACTTGGTTGACACATCGTATACCAGGGGCGTAGCTGCCATATAGGCAAAAAGGCAATTGCCTACACATAATTTTGTAAAAAAAAAAAATTAAATAAAGGAAATGATAAATTTGAAAGAAAAATGTCACAGGTGAATTTATTTCAACATGCTGAAAGCATTGATATGTACGAATAATAATTGCACTCTAATCGTTTTGCCTACACATAATAACTGGCTCAGATACGCCCCTGTGTACCAATTGCAAAGATCGATGCTCATGCTGTTGATCACGGGATTGTCTCGTTCAGACTCGATTATTTACAGACCGCTGCCATATAGCTGGAATATTGCTGTGTGTGGCCTAAAACTAATCTCACTCACTCTTAGATATAAGGGGAATTGCCTCTCATCTCACATTACACCTCTCGCCACAATAACATCAGCATTGTATGTGATGATCATACCCTGGACACTCTCCAGCATAGCTTTTAGCAGAGGTTACTTACGGATGTAGAAAGGGTTATTTCACTTCTATTCCAAGTAGAATTACTGTTGCTGAGTGGTGAATATTACCATCATTGTCCTTATTTGCAATAATCACTGCTCTCGTATAATATCACTTCTGAATTTGTACAACCACCCAATCTTATACAGCAATAGTGATACATTTGAATCGATCTTTTAACTTAGTTAATTTTAGAATACAATAGTTACTTCTAGAACATGTTTTTGTTGTATGTTGGTTTCACCTCTAGTTCTTTATGGAACGATTTCCGGTTAACTGTTTATTTTAAACTTTGGAAAACAGCAGGTACGAACAAAACACTGAAAGGGCAGAATTCCACTGTGACACATGTGCTCTTTCATGTCACTCAAGGGGACGAGAAGTTCTCCCATATTCCCTACATTAACATCAAGTGAAGATCTTCAAATGGATTCTTTCCCCCAGTCAGTACATTGCTATGGTGTGATTCCAGTGTCAGGCTTGGTTTCACCATGATCACTTATGTGTCTCTGCAGATCAGATAAATGTATAAATGTTTTTCTCCTCACACTCGCCACACTGCAAACTTGTGCAAAGGCATAATTTTACTTTGACATGGGTGCTTTTTCAAGTCATTTAAATTTTTAAAAATCCCACCACAGTCCTGACACATACTAGTATATGGCTAGAATTGTGGTTCCTCAGATGGGCCTGCACAGCACAAGAGTGTGTAAATGTTTTATCACACTGACTACACTGATAAGGTTCTATTTTACTTAGAATAATGTGGTTCCCCAAGCTGCCTGATTTTACAAATTCTTTCCCACTATCAGTACACTGCTAAGCTTTATTCTAGTGAAACATCATATCAGCAAATTCTACGTAGGTCATATGAACGTGCAAATTCTTCCCAACATTCAACACACTGAAAAGGCTTCACTACATTATGAATCTTGAAATGGGTCTGCAGGTGACTTGGAAGTTTAAATGCTTTCCCACATTCATCACACACATGAGGCTTGATTTTGATGTAACTTTCTGTGTCTGTGCAGGTCAGATGAATGTGTAAATTCTTCCCCACACTCAACACACTGAAAAGGCTTCACCTCTCTGTGACAAATGTGGCTTTTCATGTCATTTAAGTTCGCAAAAGATCCCCCACATTTCTTACACATATATGGCTAGACTCCACTGTGATTCCTCAGATGGATCTGCATGGCACATGTGTGTGTAAATGTTTTCTCACACTGATTACACTGATAAGGTTTGATCCTTCTTTGATCCCTCATATGGTACTTCAAGCTACCTGACTGCGTGAATCTTTTCCCACATTCAGTACACTCATATGGCTTGATGCCACTGTGAATCTTCAAGTGTCTGTTCACGCTGCCTGCATGTGCAAATTCTTTATCACATTCTTCACACTTAAAATTCTTGATTCCACTGTGATGACTCAAATGAGTGCGCAGTTCTTTTAACTGGCGGAATGTTTTATCACACTCGCCACACTGATAAGGCTTGGTTACACTATGAGTCCACATATGTTTCTTCAGGCTCTTTGATCGTAGGAATTGTTTACCACACTCAGTACACTGATATGGCTTGATTCCACCATTTTCAAATGAGCCCTTTCCACTGTGAACCTTCAAATGTGCCCGTAGTTCACTTTGTAGTTTATATCTTTTATCACATACACTGCACGCATGAGGCTTTGTACTGTGACTTCTCATGTGATTCTTCAGTAAACCTGAGTTTTTAAATTCTTTTCCACATTCATTACACTGTGGCTTGACTGCACTGTGACTGGTCATGTGTGTATTCAGGTGACCAGATTGTCTAAATTCTTTCCCACATTCCGTACACTGAAAGGGTTTCACTCCGCTGTGAATCCTTAAGTGATTCCTCAGGGTAGAGAGACATGTAAATCTTTTCCCACACTCCTTACACAGGCAAGGCTTGATTCCACTGTGACTCCTAATGTGGACCTTCAGGGAAGACGAATGTTTAAACTCTTTCCCACATTCACCACACTTGAAATGCTTGATTTCGCTGTGACTGATCAAATGAGTCCGCAGTTCAACCAATTGTTTAAACGTTTTCCCACACTCTTCACACTGATAAGGCTTGATTCCACTGTGTCTCAACATGTGTCTTGTCAGTCTACATGATTGTGCGAATTTTTGCCCACATTCAGTGCACTCATAAGGCTTGATTCCACTGTGAATCCTTAAATGAATGCGCAGGCAAGTTGAATTTGTAAACGCTTTCTCACACTCACCACACTGATAAGGCTTGATTCCACTGTGAACCCTCATGTGTGTCCGGAGATCACCTGGAAGTTTATATCTTTTATCGCACACACTGCACTCATAAGGCTTGATTGTACTGTGACTGCTCATGTGTGTCTTCAGGTGACCAGACTGTTTAAATTCTTTCCCACATTCAGCACACTTAAAAGGCTTCACTCCGCTGTGAATCCTCAAATGATTTCGCAGGAAAGCTGCTTGTGTAAACGTTTTCCCACACTCATTACACAGATAAGGCTTGACTCCACTGTGAGTAGCTACATGTTTCTTCAGGGAACATGATTGTGTAAATTCTTTCCCACATTCTCCACACTTGAAATTCTTTATTCCACTGTGAATTCTCGAATGAAGTTTGAGGGCACTTGATTGTGTAAACGTTTTCCCACACTCATTACACTGATAAGGCTTGATTCCACTGTGTGTCAACATGTGTGTTGTCAGGTTACTTGATTTTGTGAATTGTTTACCACATTCAGAACATTGATAAGGCTTGATTCCACTATGAATAGTCAACTGAGTTTTGAGGGCACTTTCAGTGTGAACCTTCATGTGTGTCAGCAGATCACCTGGAAGTTCATATCTTTTATCACACACAGTACACTCATAAGGCTTGATTGTACTGTGACTGGTCATGTGTGTCTTCAGGTGACCAGACTGTTTAAATTCTTTCCCACATTCAGTACACTTGTAAGGCTTCACTCCGCTGTGAATCCTGAACTGAGTTTTCAGGGGATCTGCGAAAGTAAGCTTTTCCCCACATTCATTATAAGTAAAAGACTGCTTTGCTGGAACCTCACAACCTTTGTGTTTCTTGAGATCACCTGTTTCCGTCATACCTTTCTCACAGTCAGTGTTTCTACCTGTTTCAACAACAGGCTCTTTTCCAAGACCAGTTGTTTCCAGTAATGCTCTCTCATAGTCAGTGTTTGCACCTGTGTCAGTAAGGGGTTCTTGTTTGTGATCATGTGTTTCCAGCAATTCTCTCTCACAGTCAGTGTTTGCACCTTTATCAGTAACAGGTTCTTGTTTCATGTCATCTACACCTATATCAGTAACAGGTTCTTGTTTCAGGTCATCTACACCAATATCAGTAACAGGTTCTTGTTTCAGGTCCCCTATGTCCAGTAATGCTCTCTCAGAGTCAGTGTTTGCACCTATATGAGTAACAGGTTCTTGTTTCAGGTCATCTACACCTATATCAGTAACAGGTTCTTGTTTCAGGTCTCCTATGTCCAGTAATGCTCTCTCACAGTCAGTGTTTGCACCTATATCAGTAACAGGTTCTTGTTTCAGGTCCCCTATGTCCAGTAATGCTCTCTCACAGTCAGTGTTTGCACCTATCATAACAGGTTCTTGTTTCAGGTCATCTACACCTATATCAGTAACAGGTTCTTGTTTCAGGTCATCTATGTCCAGTAATTCTCTCTCACAGTCAGTGTTTGCACCTATATCAGTAACAGGTTCTTGTTTCAGGTCATCTACACCTATATCAGTAACAGGTTCTTGTTTCAGGTCCCCTATGTCCAGTAATGCTCTCTCAGAGTCAGTGTTTGCACCTATATGAGTAACAGGTTCTTGTTTCAGGTCATCTACACCTATATCAGTAACAGGTTCTTGTTTCAGGTCTCCTATGTCCAGTAATGCTCTCTCACAGTCAGTGTTTGCACCTATATCAGTAACAGGTTCTTGTTTCAGGTCCCCTATGTCCAGTAATGCTCTCTCACAGTCAGTGTTTGCACCTATATCAGTAACAGGTTCTTGTTTCAGGTCATCTACACCTATATCAGTAACAGGTTCTTGTTTCAGGTCTCCTATGTCCAGTAATGCTCTCTCACAGTCAGTGTTTGCACCTATATCAGTAACAGGTTCTTGTTTCAGGTCATCTACACCTATATCAGTAACAGGTTCTTGTTTCAGGTCACTAATATCCAGCATTTCTCTCTCACAGTCAGTGTTTGCACCTATATCAGTAACAGGTTCTTGTTTCAGGTCATCTACACCTATATCAGTAACAGGTTCTTGTTTCAGGTCACTAATATCCAGCATTTCTCTCTCACAGTCAGTGTTTTCACCTATATCAGTAACAGGTTCTTGTTTCAGGTCACTAATATCCAGCATTTCTCTCTCACAGTCAGTGTTTGCACCTATATCAGTAACAGGTTCTTGTTTCAGGTCATCTACACCTATATCAGTAACAGGTTCTTGTTTCAGGTCACTAATATCCAGCATTTCTCTCTCACAGTCAGTGTTTTCACCTATATCAGTAACAGGTTCTTGTTTCAGGTCACTAATATCCAGCATTTCTCTCTCACAGTCAGTGTTTGCACCTATATCAGTAACAGGTTCTTGTTTCAGGTCATCTACACCTATATCAGTAACAGGTTCTTGTTTCAGGTCACTAATATCCAGCATTTCTCTCTCACAGTCAGTGTTTGCACCTATATCAGTAACAGGTTCTTGTTTCAGATTATCTATGTCTAGTAATTCTCTCTCACAGTCAGTGTTTGCTCCTATATCAGTAACAGGTTCTTGTTTCAGGTCATCTATGTCCAGTAATTCTCTCTCACAGTCAGTGTTTGCTCCTATATCAGTAACAGGTTCTTGTTTCAGGTCACTAATATCCAGCATTTCTCTCTCACAGTCAGTGTTTGCACCTGTGTCAGTAACAGGTTCTTGTTTCAGGTCACTAATATCCAGCATTTCTCTCTCACAGTCAGTGTTTGCACCTACATCAGTAACAGGTTCTTGTTTCAGGTCATCCATTTCCAGTAATGCCCTCTCACAGTCCACGAGTACAACTGTTTCAGTGACAGAGCCAATTCTGTGGTTCTCATTGTATTTCCATCATGAACTTGTGGATGATGTGGTGTTCACTGAAAATGTAAAGAACTTTTTATTACACCTATTCATTTTATCAATCAACACATTATCAGTTAATCAAGTTTGATCAATGTTGTTTATTTCAACTGATAATGTCTCTCTTGCTGCGCTTCCATGTGGATATTACATAACATGCATACATTTACCACACCAGACCTGAATTTATACGGCCCCCAAACATGGATGACAACAAGAGAGTAGTAATCATTGTCTTGTATGCAGTTTATGTGCTTAATAAACTTAAGGGTAATTGTTGTTTTGTGGATATGAACGGAACTTCACTGTTGCAGAAAATATATTTACATGCATTTGCTACGCACTAAAGTCAGTAAAGATAATATCTGTTATAAACATATTTCCATATGTGGATATTTAATTATAACAATGGCAAGATGGAGTTCATTTTGTTTATGGCCTAAAAAAGAATGTGAATTTTTATGTACTCTTAGAAAAGTAGGGGAACTTCATTTTTAATTTACGATTGAAAACATTGGGAGATATATTGGCGTCAATCAATGTTTAGATGGAAATAATGAATGTTTTGAGAGCGCATCACCACTTGCACCTCCTTATGACCATAGTTGTTTGTACAGTAATCCTCTTGAAAGATGATTGGTGTATGACATGAAATTTGCATGTGTATGAATTTCATTTTCGAACAAAAAGAATGGCTAGAAGCAAACACTAACGACTGTGTGATGCAACATGATTGTCAAAATTTATTGTCTACAGTGATTTATCGACCTCTTGAACACAGTCAAAATCAAGAATGACACCCCATGCGTGTGTATGGGGCTACTGCGTTGTGCACGTGCATCCCATGCCTTGTGTTTAGTTGTGATGATAAACAGAAATGGTGGTGCTCTCATAAGAAATGTCTTTGAAAAGTTTGTTAAGGCTTATACCTCCTTTCCTAATTGTAAGTTCAGGTCCCTTACTTCTTTTTAAGACTATATTATGGATAATATCACTACATATGATTACTATCAAGGTACAAAACACAGTAATAGGATCCAGATCAATTTTGGTCAACATACCATCAGCAGCCCGGAAATCCAAGAATGCTTTCACTGCTGGGATACTTTATTAAAGTCTGACTAGATCCACAGTATTACTGGCAAATAACGGAATCTAATGGGCATCAGCTGTTCTTTTCCCATGCTTTTTTAGAATACACAATGCCTTTTAGAAAGTGGTTAAATGTATAGAATGTTACATTTGGGATTACAATTTCTCAGCTTATTTCGGCTGAAGAAATATAAACCATAGGCCTATATTCTAAGGCAAAAAATGATTAAAGAAAATATGGGAGTTACGAACAGAAATCTTTCTGAAATAAAGAAGCTCGTGTTCTTTGCTATGTGTATATGGCTGTAGGTGAATTCGTAGACCAGACTGGTTCGTAGACGTGGAAATCTGGTGGATTCGTAGACGTTAGTAAAATGGGAAAAGTTCAACCTCAATGATGATGAAAATCGACGAAAAGTGTTTGCATTTTGTGAAATAAATAAAATATATCAGGTAAGTATGATCGGCGGTGAAAATGTGCTTAAAATAATAAAATATGCTTCACAGTGGTCCACGTCCGACAAATTCCGACAAATCATATATATTAAATTCAGTTGTGTAAAATTAAAAGATATGTATTAGGTAAGTATCGTCATTCAATTCAACTAAGCAGACCAGCAGAGAAGTAGCAGAAAACACTTTTTAAGAAAACACTTACATCTCCCACACAGAGTATTTCGCAATCAAAACAACTCACCACTTCCTAATTAACATTCACAACAACTCAGTGAAACCTGATAATCCTCCCACAACAATGAAAACAGTCGGGAAATTATGATGAGGAGACTAATTTTGTCTGATCCGCCGACAAAGTTTACCTGTACAAACACTTTTTGCTTCTTTTTACACTCTTTCAGATGATCTTGTTTAAAAAATTATCTGCATTTTATTAGTATAATGATCATGCCTCACATATTTATAATTTGTTTTCCAGATTCATACAAATACAGGTAGAACAAGAGACGGGAAAATATTCGTTCACTCTTCAATCACACTTTCTTGTCCTTAGCTGCCCTTAGTTTCGTATTACTGAAAACAAAGCATAACAACTTCGTTATACACATTCTAAGTAAAAATCAAACTTAATAAATACTATTAATCAATTATTAATAATTTCGTGCTTTCAAGTTTACACAGATTCCAGAACGTTGGTTGGTTGAGAGAGCGGTCATGTGATCTAAATTTCAAGGTTCATTACTCTTGAACCCCTCTAATCGTTCATACTTGTGTAAACACCGTTCATACGAGTGTGAACGTTTTTCGCTCCGGTTTCAAGGACCCCCAATAATTGGTGATACCAATTTCGCGAACGAACCTGTTTCAACTCATCCCAAGTTTGGCAATGTCACTACCAAACGGATTGCCGAACATTGTTCCTTTTCACAGGAGTTTAATGTCTCGCAGTTTGCGGGTTCATCCGGCGGTTTTCTGCCCTGAGGTCTGTTTAACAACAGCTCAATAAATTTCACAATAAACAATCACAAATAAATAGAATACAACAAGATCTGTTTCCTATTCGCCACGCCGCACAACTTCGAAGTCGGTCAGTGTATTATTACGCAGTCAAACAAGGTATTTACAAGTGAAAAGGTACAATGCCAGTTTGTTAAAATGGTATTGTTATTGCTTCTGATATTTGTTTCTGTTTGATACTGTTATTGATTATACTTACTAAAGCAGTTTCAAACCTCATAACGAATTTGTTGTTATATTTTAAAGATCGAATACTTTCAGAACTATTTCTTCAAGGGTTGGGATACATGTGTAAAAGAAAAATCGCTGTGTATACAAACATCGCTGCAATACGTACGTTCTTGAACCGAATGCCATTACAACATTTTACAGGTATTAAAACACACTAAACAATGATCATCTACAAGTGGGTGGAAAAGGTATGTGTATACTTCAAATTGCGAAATTATATAAGAATTGAATGTCAGTTTGTGTGTTTGCACTGAAAAATGAACGCTGTCAAAGCGTTGTTCAAACTCTCGCGTGAACTCGCTCGTTCACACGTTTTTGAACACCGCTTTGACATCGTTCATTTTTCAGTGCAAACACACAAACTGACATTCAATTCTTAAATACACGTCTACGAAATCACCGTCTACGAACCAGTCTGGGTTACGAATCCACCGCGTCTACGAACTGGTTCAGTCTACGAAATCACCGTATCCAGTGTATATTTGGTGATTTTACGTGCGCTTTCCGACACAATGCGTATTTCCCATACGAATACGTCTGAATGTTGCCTCAAAGTTTATATCCGCGACCCTTGTCGACAGTACTGCAGTAGCCCAGTCTTGTGTCACGGCAGCTGATGAGATCTCGGTGGCAGTGTGAAACTGCCGGGTTCAAGCCATACATCAGTCCCATTCGAAGTTCAATCACGACACGATTCGCATTCCCCCCATAGCACCTTCAGGTATCATATTCCGTTTTCCAACGAATTTGTAAACTCTGAACACTCTTACCTCGACAAGAAATAACTGTAGGTCGGGGAACAACTGGGAAGTTACATGCATCTGCAAGTATTTTCTCAATAACCAGCCGTTTCGTTTTCTCATTTCCACTTGAAATCGTGTTTTTGGAAGGGTGTGATTAGCAAAGGGGCATCACTCTATGCGTACATCATGGGCGGCCACTATTAACTAAATGGTTAGATGTATTAGAATCGGGAACGGGTCAAAAGACAATAGGGCCCAAACTGGAAAAGTCAAAAGTGGAAAAGTAAAAAGGGCCATAGTTTTAAGTCAAAAAGGCAAAACTTTGAGAAAATAGTAAGATTAGAAGAAATTCATCACATGTATGTTGTTGCGGTAGTTCTAATCCTAAACATCTCAGAGTGTCTTAGTGTTGTTTATTTAAAACATCTCAGAGTGGTTGAGTGTTTATTTAATTTTATGAGTATAGTCAACCATACAACTACTTATTCAATGATTACAAGATGTTTTAACAGAGTCACTGGTGACAATTACACTAAAGTACTGTCGGAAATAGAAAAAACAAACTGTTTTAGGCTGTTACTCTGTATCCCTAAATTGTACACAATTGCAAATACAGTACCTGGCCATAAGTATTCGTGATTTTGACGTTCACGATGTCATGCGCACGGGAAAAGGAGGGAAACTCAAAACAGCGTAACTTGATAACGTTTGAAAGTCTTACCTTAATATTTTGTCAGTCGACCTTTCATATGCAGCACTTCCCGTACACGATCAGGTAAAGATATAAGTCTCTAGCATAATCCAGTGAGAGATTTTCCCACACACGCAGAATTTCCGCGTGAAGTTCGTCAGGTTGATGCGATGTGCGACGGGTTGCAACCGCCTCTTAATTTTTAACCAGATATTTTCAATTATGGTGAGATCTGGAGACTGTGGGGGGCATTCTGTGTCAATAATTCCATTTTCTTCTTACACAATTCTGGCCCGATGTACGGGAGCATTATCGTCCATGAATACATATCGCTCGTTTGTATAATGACGGGCTATAACTTGCCAAAGATTGTTTTCAAGGATGTCTATATACTTTGCAGCATTGATGTTACCATTTACTGGGGTAAGAGTTCCAATCCCCTTGAAGGTGACACACACACCCACCCCCAACCCCCATATCATCAAAGACACTTTACGTTGCGAGGGCCGACACACTAAATGCGGCCGGTTTACTTCATCGCCCTTTCTCCACACATACACACGCTTGTCACCTCCACTAACATCCTGACTTTCGTCAGAAAAAAAATATTTACTCCAGTTATTATCAACTGTGAAATTCC